GCATCCTTGGCCATCATGGGTTTCAGTGTGCATAAAAGATTTCAACTGAACATTATACTCTGCATGAATTAAAAGCATACGTAATAACAGCATTCCATTCTGGTAACATTTTGCATTGTCTGAGGCAAGCCATGTTTCATCTGCATCATAATACCCTCCTAAATCAAAAGAACTGCAAACCAGTCCTGCTTTGAAACCGAGATGATACACGATCATAATAGTAGATCTAATATCCATGAACTCCATTTCCATTATAATCTGCATTATTCATATGTCTTAGTACACTTCTAGTGTATACCATGGTTCCATGCCATGACATACCTTTCTTTCCGTAGTGTTCAAGTGTCTTCTCTTGAAAGTATAGTGACTCATATTTCATCTTGTCGTCCATTACTACCAAAGCCTCATCTGCTTTGAAGGGTTTCATGTATTTGAGCGATATGATCTCACTGGTTTTTTACTCTCTCTCTCGATGGCTCATGTACAACTTAAACTTCAATCTGCAGTCATCTACAAGGAAATGGTGATCAAAACTCAATTTCTTTTTCAAAAACTGGACAATTGAATGGGATTTGACAACGATTGCAAATTCCATGAGAATTGCCACTTGAATTCCTACTCAAACCGTAATCAATATCATGATTTGTGCAATTGTCTGCATCAATATGCTTAGAATATGCTCAATCACTTCCAGAGATTTTATTGCAATTTCTTTCACATTTTGATGGTGAATGGTATCAACTATTTGCCAGAAAGGCTCCACATTATCATAAAGAAGATTCCCAGAAGCATAATCCTCAGCCTATCTAACCCTTTGGTCAGACAACTGATTAATTTTGCAAATGACCCATATGAAATTTTATCAGGCACAGACTCTAGATAACCCATATATATTCCTTTGTTCTCTTATAACAAAATCGCAGTAAACTCAGATCCTTTCCATCAATTGTAATCTTCTGTGTTCTCCCCATGATAAAGTTTTGATATTTTGAAGGATAAATTCATCAGCCTTTTGAAGAATTGATAACTTTAGAAGTCACTTGTTAGCCAAAGTTTATCACAATGGGATTCTATGGGTACTACCTTCTTTATTCTGACTTCTAAGCTACCAATATGATTTTATTCCTACGTATTTCAGATTTAAAAAAAATTGGAAATCACTTTGTGAAAAATACTATATGTAATGCAAATTATCCAAAAATTGGATTTCAATCAGTGGCTCCAGGATTCCATGCAATGTATAAACAATGTATGAACAACTATTCCTACCATGCACATGACCATCATATGAAGGTTGACTTCAATAAAGTCTGATATAATAGATATAAATTCTTATAATACAAATCTGTAATATTTATATGCTACATGAATATCAAAATACAGTATATAACACCTGATATAAAAACTATTTGTAATATCTAATCAAGTGTTTGAACCAACTAGACATACACCTAGAAAAATTTATACATTCAAATATACATTTGTAACAAAAAGGAGTAAATACAAATTCCTCTATTAAAAAAGAAAAAGCATGCAAAACAAAATAAACTCAAAGTAATGTGCTTAATGTTAAAAAAACAAATAAAAATATCACCCAAAACACAAGGATACATATAATATGATGAAGATGCTTTCTTCAGATCTTCCTTTAAAGTATTTAAGTCATTACTGAATTGCTTCATTGATTGTCTGGCTTGTGCATTCAACTGGCAAACAATAATTTAAAAAAATAGAACTTATTAAAATTATAACTATGTTTCAAGTATCAGGTATGAAAAGGATCATAAAAAAAGAACATTTTTCCCAACACTAAAGATAGATGGTGATGTTCCAATTAGCCCCTGAGTCATGCTTAGTGTTTACAGCACATTCTGTAAGTTTCCCCATTTGAGATTGTTAAGCCTAATTTGATCATTATTGTAGATAGATTGTTTAAAAAGTTTTGAGTCCTCAATGTACTTTAGCTATACAAACAGGAGGAACAGGAAAGTCAAAAATAATTTTCTCTTTCACCCAATTTCAAGCTTTTCTTCTTCAAGGAAAAGGTATGAAGTTTAAAGTATTTATTAATCAGACTGACAAATGGAAATCACCTGCAAAATTAGTAGATTATAGCAATTATGCTGAAATACGTATACTTTGTTAGAGGTTATGATATGAAGACATACCAACAATAAGTTTAAGGCATAATGTAAGTTTTGGTATATAAAGCAACTCTATTCTAAACAGAAATCTAAAACACTATTTGAATTTGTAGTTATTTACAGTTATATGTTCTATTGTAGTATGATAATACAACCTTTGACTTAAATGTCACAGAAGCTACAATCTTCTTTCCATTGTCTGCATCATAAGTAGCTAATAAATATAATCACATTTTATATATATATATATTGAGTAAATAGTGAAACATTACTGAAATACTTACTAACAGATTTATGCTTGACCTGTTGAAACTACTCAGGGCTTTTGTGTTTTGTTAATTCAGTAACTTTTTCAAAAACTTGTTTGTCTAACATAATTAATTTTGTCACATATATATATATATATATATAAATAAATTATATTTATTAAGAAAACTATTTTTAATACATCAACTCTATACAAAAAACATTGTAATTTTAATAAAACATTTTCACAGGTACTTTCACATATACAGTAGATCAGCATCCTATCAAATATTTTATACATCCAAATATTTACTATTAACTAACATGTAATATAAGTAGAAGAATACCTGAATGTATCCTGATGTATTTTGCTGTAAATGATTACGTTTGATAATCTTTTCCATGACATCTCGAGCTCTATCTTCACATGCATTATAGGTTAAGAGCCTGATATTAAAGAATAAATTTTCATTAACATTCCTTGCTTTGTTGAACATAAAACTCAAACTCATATTTACTGACATTTATGAATGCAAATTATGTAAAATCATTTACACCTTTCTAAGCTATATACACATAAACACTTACAAAACTTGTGGAAATATAGAATATATTAATTGTACTTCATTTATTTTAATTTACTATTTGGGCATTCCTAAAATATCATCATCATTAGACCCAAACTTTGCCTGTTACATCATGATAGTTCTATTATGAGGCAGTGTCCAGCAAAGGTTATGCCATTAATCATAAAGAAGACATTGTATATCTCTTCATTAACATTATAAATTTAAATATTCTTTAATTACGTAATTGCACAGTGGTGGAGAGAGACATTCCTTGCTTCAAGTTTTTTGACACCTGAGAAACAAAATTCCAGGAAATTCAATAAAAGGTAAAGTATAGTAACAGTGTGAAAATAAAAGGCTGTAACAATGTTATATTATCAACCAAAACATATGTAATTGTTGCAACGAGCAATTGCTATTATGGTTACGAGTTGGGCAACAACATGAGTATTCAACCTCAAGAAAAAACAATTATATTAATGGTATCACTTTACCAAGCTACTAGGTTATGACCAATTGCTTTTTTAAAATCTTTAGATTTCTTAAAATAGTACAAAATAATTATTTACTGAAGGTGAAAATGTCAAGTACAACAACAACAAAAAATGCACCAAATAAAACACTGTCATAAGAAAAACATTAATAAATATTATTTTCCCCTTTTATTTCTTCATTTTTCCCATAAATAACATTGAACATTTAAATGTAATGTAAAAATAAAACTGCTGGTAGATAAACAGAATATTTAGTTATACAACCAACTCATCCAATTTGAGACATCAGTTATGATTCATTATAGAGGACTGGTGAAACAAAGAAAACCAAAGGTAAAATTTGTTTGAACATGATGGCCCCATCTTTAGAAGCTGTCAGTTAACAGTTTTATTTCACACACCAGTAACAATGTCAAATGATTCAATTTTTAATATACTTGTTATTTACTATTTTTTAGTAAAATTACTTATACCAGTCAGTTGTCTGACACTTTAAAGGTTTACTAAATACCAGTTTAAATTAAACTACATTAAGTTAAACTAATTACCCATCAATTGAACATTTTTATACTTCCTTTCAGCACACATGATTGAGTTCACTTAAATAAATATAAATGTATTACAATTGGGCCTACAATTGTGATGTTTTATTAACATGCAAATCTTTCAAAATAAATAAGATTTTTCTTTGTACTAAAGTAACTTTTTATGAATAGTAAGATCATATAGTGATATCAGAAAAGTAAGGTAAAAATATTTATCTTTAATATTAATTTAAGTGACCATTTATCACCATAGAATTAACCTGCAAGTACAATAATAATTCTGCTGCTACAAGTACAAGCTACCATTCTTGGAATTACTGTGAAGATTTTCAAATATGTTTCATACTCTAACTGTGTGTGAAATAAAATGTACATTGTGAATCTAAAGAGGTTTAGAGGCAAAGGCAGCACCATGATGATCATGTTTCAGGCCTATGCCTTTCTTCAGGAGACACTAATAGAACCTTTATAGTGAATAACAATCCAAAAAAACAAAACAATTCATTTTAATAACAGTATGAACAATGGCTATTTCTAGCCTCAAGAAATTATACAATGAAGAAGTATATAAATTTTTTCTCATTTTGGCCCCCTTGAGTCATTGGCCCACGACTATAAAAATATTACTTATATTTTATACTGCTGGAATACTTTCTAGTGCTCAGCAATGAGCAATTTAACATTCCTAGGTGTTAATTTTCATTGTTTGAAAATATTTACTATTTTTATACACTACTGCACACATATCTTATCGATAGGTCTGACAAATATA